TGCTGAGAGTTTACTATAATGAAAAAAGTTTCTTGACTGCTTTCAATTTCAAAGAAATCTTAGCAAATGTTCAAATGGTATTTAAAAGAATGCCACATTAAAGACTAATATATATATATATATGTATATATATAATATGTGTATGTATATATTGCTATATTATATAACTATGTTTTATATTGTATAAGTAAAATTTATTGAGCCGATTCAAACATTTGTGCTTTAATAAAGTTTAGGCATTATTTTCATAAAGTATGTGGCCTGGGTTGAATTTTTAAATGAAACATTTTAATATAGTGATGTATTATATATTTAAATATGTATATGAATGTATATTCAAATGCAATAAAAGTACAAAATACAGCCCGATTATCATTTATCTCTTTGGACTGATGTGTTAATTTCTCCTGGAACCAAGTACTTGTATTATTGAAAATAGAAGTGACTACTGAAATAACATAATTAAGCAATTGTACTAAGTGCAAAAAGAATGCTGTCTGAAAATATAGCCTTTGTTTTCCCACCAATCATCTGTTTTATCATTGTCTTTTGCTTAGTTTTGTTTTGTTTTGTTTTTTGTTTTGGTTTGGTTTTCGACACAGGGTTTCTCTGTGTAGTTTTGGTGCCTGTCCTGGGTCTCACTCTGTAGACCAAGCTGGCTTCAAACTCACAGGGATCCACCTGGCTCTGCCTCTCAAGTGCTGGGATTAAAGGTATGTGCCACCACCGACCGGCTTATCATTGTCTTTAAAGAGTGGTAAAATTAAGTTGCCTAATTTCTTGCACTTTTAAAAGTATGATTGGCATTTTTTTACTTTGTACACAAGAGAAAAACATATGAAATCTGTTGGCCTCTCATGAAATAAAATTCTCAACAAACCAGTTGTCTCATGGATCATGTTTACTAAAAGGTCCTTCCAGGATTTGGTAGGACACTGAGCAATAAGTCGGAAGCTTTGATTGCAAGGTCACAGAGGACTCCTGTGATTTGGCTTCCTAAGGAGTCTGGGGGAAAGTCTTGTTGAAAACTAGAATAAGATCATTAAATAGTGAGGAGAATGGAAGAGAAGGGCTAAAGGGGAAATATGGGAGAGACAACTAATTCTAAAGGTCATTTGAAAACCATATGGAAGTCTATTATTGTAGAAGCTTACACACACACATACACACACACACACACACACACACACACACACACACACACACACACACAATGAGTCTAAATGGAGACAGAGGTCAACTGGAATCTTTTGCTACCAAACAAAACCTCCAGTGGCAGGAAGGGGTTATTTATATCTTGTTGAGTTGTCCAAAGGAACCCCAGAGAAACCCTCAAACACCAGGAGGTATTGCCAAGATTTTTGGTTACTCTCTATGACCCTTTTGATGAGACAACACTTACATATGTCACCAGACAAAGAAATCTAGCTGGTGTCTAACTAGGAGTTTCATCCATTCTGACTAGTGTTTGTGTACTGGAAGATACTCTGCATATTATCAGACAAGAAAGGTAATCATCAATATCTCCCAGATACAATCTTGAAATGTACAACAGTAACCTGCCATACGTGTATATGTATATACACATATACATATATGTATATGCATATATATGCAAATATATATGCTGGTGCAACAGTAGCACAAATGTTATGGGAGTAACTAACCACTTTCTGATTGGATTTAAGACCCACTCCATGAGATGGAATCCATAGTTGACACTAGTAAAATGGCCAAGATCTTAGACAAGATACATTGTGTGCTTAAGGGAAACCCTAATACTATTATTATTATTATTATTATGCTAAAGAATGATGGCAATAAAATGACTCCTAATGACTTTCTACTACACCCATAGATCAGTGTCTCACTCAACCTTCATCAGAGCAGCTTCTTACAGTAAATGCCAGCTAACACAGAGACCCATAACTAGATTGTGCAGAAAGTGTGAGATTTTGGAGCACTCAGTTCTAAATGAGATGTCTTCATTAGAGCCCTCCTCTCCTCACGGCTCAGTGATTTATGTGGAAAAGGAAGCAGAAAGGTTCTAAGAGGCAGAGGTAGTGGATGAATCAAAGGGAACAGTGTCTTCCAGACACAACAGGATGGATGCACATATGACCTCACAGAGATTGTGGCAGCATACATAAGATCTGCACAAGTTCAAGCCAGACAAGATCACAGAACTGAGAGGGAGAGGTGGACCCTCTAAACAAGAAGCTATCTACAATTGACACCTGCTCGAAAAGGGAAAAACATAGTTTTCTCCTATACAGTTTCATTGGGTATATTGACAACACCTCAGGCCTGTAGAATGATGGCAGAATTTAGAAATTCCATACTTTCTTGATGTCTCAGTTTTCTGATCCTTTACTTTCTACTTTCCCCAAAGGTTTTGCAACTATAGCTATTGCTGGCTCACTACATTTAAATATCTCTGAGCCTTGATTATTTCATCTGCATAATGGGGGGATGAAGTTACCTAAATCATTTTGCCAATATGAGATTGCACAGAGCATATAAAAATTGACATGGTCTAAGCTTCAAATGCAATGCTAGTTGGTTGTTGTTAGAAGTCACACATCTGAGCCTCGTGTCTCCTCAGAATGTCATCAAAGTGACCTGGACTTGGTCTGGAAAACCAAGCTCTTCTCATGTTTTGAACTGCTTCTCCAAATATTTTTGGTAAGACCCATCAGGAGTTGATTATACCCTCTGGCATTGCCTACTCACATCAGATACATCCAGTGCTTTTTATTCCCATAGGTGTGCTAAAGCAAGGTCTGGCAAGCTCCCCCTACCCACTGATTACCAGATTCTGTTGTATGTTAGAGACTGGTCACTCAGAACACTTCACCCTAAAGGTCAAAAGTGAATGATCAGCTACTACCTGGCTGTGAGGACCTGGAAAGTACTATGAACTCAAAAAGGACATCAGAGGGAGGAGGAGGTCACAGTTGTTTCCAATTTCTCCAGCGAAGATGTTAGCCTCTTCAGCTCCATTGGGTGGTAACCCACCACCAGCAGGTTCTTGCACAAAGCCATTTTCCTGAACACCCACTAAAGAGACATTTAAAAGCTTCCAGAATGGAGTTTTTCCTGTGATGGGACTCTCATCCTCTCCCTAATGCTTGTTGCTCACAGGCACACACACACACACACACACACACACACACACGCACGCACGCACGCACGCACGCACGCATGCACACACACACACACACACACACGCACGCACATGCACTGTTTCATTCATAATAATTTTCATGTGCATTCTCACAGAAGAAAAATAGTTACAAATTTCTTTATTTTGCTTGGGAAGTGATCAGATCTGGTTGGTAATTGCCTGCCTGATCAAGAGCCATTTCCTTCATGGTTAACCAAACATTGGCTCCACTCAGCTGGGCCCGTTTTAAATATCACCAAAAGTGAATAGCTCCAATTACTACAGGAAACACATTTCCCGACATGAAACAAGGACCAGAAACAGATTTGTCCGTGTCTCAAAATGCACGTCATTTCAAGGAGAGGCAGGCATGTTATTCCTTTAACTGCTGAACCCTCTATCCCTTGCTCCCATATACACACAAGCTCCACAACACACACACACACACACACACACACACACACACACACACACATTTTAGGAATTGTGGAAGAACTCAGAAATTTTGTTTCTGAATTCTCTATGAAAATGGCTGGAACTTTTTTACAGTGATACCTCATCTTAAAATTGAAAAAAAAAATCATGGGAAGTCAAACAGGAAGCAAAGCTCCCCTTACACTTTCCTTGGAGGAAAAGAGAAATAGACATCAGAAAAAATTACTTTAGAAAGTATTATACTTCTCTTTAGATATTGATTATTGTCAGAGGAAACAGTTCAGACAAATCTTAGATTTGTTGGAGACTGACAGAATTGGAAACTTTAAGAATTCAAGCATCCATTTACAGATCTTTCATGCATCCCATCCTCACAATTTGGTGCCTAATTTTGGTAAAGCTATTAATAGCCCTCTTTGGTCACTAGATGCCATCTAAGGACCATGAACTTGCATTATCTGATTCAGGGATTTTATTCAAGAGACCTCTTACTATGACAGTGACACAGGATTCAGCTGTGGTGTAAACAAATGCCAGATGACAGAAATTGTCCTCCTTCCTTGAAGAAATGTGCTGCTTCCAGTAGTTTAAGAAATAGAAGTAAGAGAGCCCAAGTTTGTCACTGATAGTCTACACTAAGCAAGAATGTGTTTTCTTGGGGAGCTTCTCCAACTAAAGGAAAAAGTACTTGAAGTCACTGCAGATCACTCAGCTCTAGGCCATAGTACATTACAATTCTCTGTTAGTTGTCCTGAGGTGATGAACCTGACAGGGAAAAAATTGAAACAATATTCTGAGATATACTGAAAGAGAAACTTAAAGTTGTGAGTTCTGGGGACCTGAAGACTGAAGAGACATTAAGAGTCATCACACTTTCCAGGTCACAGGACCCACCAGGCCACCTTCTTGGGCTCACTGTGATTAAGTTGCTTGCTTGCTAAACAGCAAGAAGAGAGGATGTCTGGAATCAAGCTGCTAAACTGCTATTGATTGAGTCTTGAAAGAGATTTTCAACTGTAAATGCATATGTTTAGGATAGAAATGAGAACATTGCATTTTAAAGTCAATCCACATCTTATTCTGTTTGTTCAGTCCTTGGGAGGCACTACTCCCCCTTACATTTCCCTCTAGATATGTCAGCCTAAAGCTCAGAGAAGGGCACAGTGAGGCAAGGATGCAAAGGGAGACACAGAGAGGATGTCCTCCCAGCACCCCCAAAGCCCTGGAGGCTGAGATCATCTCATTGTGCTTGCATGGCTGACCTTGAGCCAAAGCAGGTTGAAATTGCTTGGAAGAAGGTCCCAGCAAGATCAGTTCTAGGAAGTAACAAATTTTGCTCCACCCACTCACTGCTGGAAAGAACTGCAAGTTCTCTTGTGCAGTTCACTTGTGCCCCAACCCTAGGCAGAGTGACCTCTGGGCTCCCAGAAGAGCTAGTGTGGGCATTTTTGAAGTGAAAGAGCTCAGTCTGAGACTCGTCGGGCATTACCATCATGAGCACACAGAGACCCACTGCTACTTCTTGCCTACCAGGTAAATTCCCCATACTTTCTCGCCAGGCTGTTGCTTTTTTGGGGTGCCTTCTGCAAAAGTGTTCTTTATAGGCTCTGTCATCCCTCTTAGATATCATTAGTCAAGTCTTTCAGGTTAGGAAGATTCAGCTGAAGTCAGACTTGGTGTCAAATTCCTTCACCTGGAAACTGACAGATTTCCTGAAATCACTGCTTCCTAGAGCAGTGATTCTCAACCTGTGGGTTGCGAGCCCTTGGGCAAACTTGTATCTCCAAAAATATCACACCACGATTCATAACAGTAGCAGAATTATAGTTATGAAGTAGCAATGAAATAATTTTATGGTTGGGGTTACCACAACATGAGGAACTGTATTAAGGGGTCACAGCATTAGGAAGGTTGAGAAGCACTGGTTTAACAGATAATAAAATGTATATGGTACAGGGCTGGGACAGAAGGCACTGAAGCAGAGGAGATTATGCTTCCATCAAGTTAGGAATGCCAAAGTAAATTTAGAGGGGCTAGGTGTGAGAAGAGATACTTGTGCCTGACTAAAAAGTGAGAACAGTGGCTAACATGGAAGACTGTTAGCTGAGTGCTTAATATTGAGAGGTGACCTTGCAGGCAGTCTGTGAGCAATGATGCCTTCTTCACAGGCTCTTCCCTAAGGAGCCCTGGCTTGCTGAGCCAGAAGGGTGTGGTTCTTTCTGTGGCCCCTTGTATGCACTTGCATCCACAGGGGGCAGCAGAGTTTGTCAAAGGATGTCTTTTATTTGTTCATGTTTTCTCTCAAGAGACCTTGAGTTCAGATACAGCAATTGTAACACGCGCAGCCACACACACACACATATCCATCCTCCCCACACAAGAATACATACCAAATACACTTTTATTCAGACTAGTAAAAGATAATATAGAAAATACATAATAGTGAAAGGAACATTACAGTAGTTATTGTAGATTTGGCACAATCATTCCTTCATTCCCAGCTCTTCTGCCTGTTACTGAAAGAGCAAAGGGTACATAAAAATGGCAGAAAAAGAGAAATGTGGAAAATGAAAAATAAAATACATTAGGGGAGAGAGAGAGAGAGAGAGAGAGAGAGAGAGAGAGAGAGAGAGAGAGAGAGAGCAATACATAGGAAAAGAAGAAAGAGAATGCCAGAAATTAAGAGACATAAAGAAACATGAAGGAGAAACCTCAAATAAGTAACAGGTGTCAGTGAGATAAAGATAAGCAAATATACAGAAACAGAAAGGGACCATGAGGGATAAAGAAGAGGAATAGAGACCCACTGAGCATTCTGTCTGTGAGTACCACATCTGTAAGTCTGCTTTCTTGCTTCTGGAGAACTTGAGGAGATAAACTGGAAGTCTTCAAATTGCAGTATTCCTCTCAAGCATGTTACAGAACCTCCTGTTCCCTCTACTGTAGTGACTTGAGTTAATCAGTACAATGCCCATAAAAGACAGCAAATTTGCATCAGATAAAAACACCATCACATTAAAAAAACAAGTTTCATTCAGGAGCTAGAGATATGGCACAGCAATCAAGTGCACTGGCTGCTCTCCTAGAGCTTCTGAGTTCAATTCCCAGCAACCATGTAGTGGCTCACAACAATCTATAATGGGATCTGGTGCCGTCTTCTGGCGTGCAAGCATACATGCAGACAGAACACCCATACATAAAATATATAAATAAAATAAAATAAAATTTCATTCAAGACTGACTTTAAAATGTTTATAATACCAAAACAAAATAATGATGAAAGGTAGGTAGAACATCAGTCAAGAAAGAAATCATCACTTTATAGATATCTTCATAATTATGAGTAAAATATGCAGTAATTTTCACAGAATACACAGACACAAACACAAATAGCTATTCCGATTTTTTTATTCTGTCAAAACAAGTAAGGTGAATTAAAACATAACGAAATACTCTAGTCAGGGCTGGAGGAATGGCTCAGCAGTTAAGATCAACTATTGTTCTTCCAGAACACTTGAATTCTATTCCTAGTGCTCAACTGAGGCACTTCACAGCTGCCTGTAACTCCAGCCCTATGGGATTCCGCCTCCTCTTCTGGACATCACAGGCACCTGCCCTCACATGTAGGTACTCACACACATATACACACCCATATATGTAACTAAAAATAACAACAACAGTATTACTAGATCTTTAAAAATGAAATACTGTAGTTAAGGAGACAAGGGGAGATGTCAAACAGATGGCTGTTAGACAAGGAAGGGATGAAAATGTATATGCCTGCCAATGAAAATGAGTGGAAGTTTAACAACCATGATGCATACACAGAGGACCTGGTGCAGAACCATGCAGGCCCTGTGCTTGCTGCTTCAGTCTCTGAGTTCATATGAGCCCTGCTTAATTGATTTAGGGATACTTGTTCTCCTGGTGTCCTCCATCCCCTCTGACTCTTAAATTCTTTCTGCTTCCTCTTCCATGGGACTCCCTGAGCTCTGAGGGGAGAGATTTGATGGAGATATCCCATTTAGAGTTGTTTATTCCAAGGTCTATTTATATCTTTCAGCTTAGCATTTATGAGACTCCTGGGTCTCTGATTCTTGTGCCTACTCTTGGGCTCTTCTCCTTCTGTTGGTTTACCTTGTCCCACTTAAATATGGTGGTTTTTGTCTTATCTTACTATATTTTATATTGTTATGTGTTATTCTTTTGTCTTAGAAACCTGTTCTTTTCTAATGAGAGACAGAAAGGGAATGGCTCTGGATGGGAAGGGTGGGGCAGGAACTGGGAGGAGAAAAGGGAGGGAAAACTGTAATTAGGATATATTGTATGAGAAAATAATTTATTTTCAATAACAGAGGAAAATAAAATAGACAAAGAAAAAGAAAGTTTAACAGCCAAGATATAAAATATTGAGTAGTCATTAGTTCAGGTTGACATTTGCAAAATGCATGTCCATGTGATAAAATAGATTAGAAGCACTATCTGAAATGAGTTGTGACTATTGATACCAATTGCTTTAATGTTTACTAAAATACTAGCACATTGAATCCTGTAATCCAACTATTTATCTAAGTGTCATTTGCATAACTGCATTGAAAAATTAAAAACAATCGCCCTCCATGAGCAATATGCAAGCATAATTTCAACAATTATGGATACACTATCATAAAATACAAAGTTGAATGTTCCAACAATCTAGCAACCTTATTGGTAATGTCACATGAGTCATGTGTTAGGCTGGAGACACAAAGGCAGAGGTTTGAGAAGTGGCAGTCATTTTACTGAGATGATTTACTAAGGTAATTTTTAAAAATATTCTAAGTCAGCAATAATCAAGTGAAGTGTTTTCAGGGTATATATTGTAGCACAAAAGTTTCAATGCTAACACACATACCCATCATTTTTGCTCTTTCTTCCTCTTCTTTTTTTATCTAGGAATTCAATTTGGTAAATACAAAGAGTATATTCTTGCTTCTTTTTAGTGGTTCCTCTGATATAACTCTCCATAATTACCTTTATTGCTTTATTACTGACAGTTTTTGGTACCTAGGATATTCTGACTTGAACGTCTACTTTAAGCAGGAATGTTTATCTAGTTGTGTAAAAAAAAACTTGTAAAGGAAGACAGTGGGTAAAAGTAAGCATAACTTCAGCATTAAGCATAGTTACTGTAGATGTCTACCTACATTTAATATTTTGATAGACTTAAGGGAAACACTTCATCCTCCCACTGTTGTAGATGCTAGGTATTGCTGAGCTCTAATCCAACGAAGATCATTATTGAGATATGGAAGGAATCCACTTACACCTTTTCACTTGCCCTAAGCATGATGGAGTGGAGTAATACATTAAGGAGTGAGAATATACTAGAATACCTAAAGAAGGGAGTTCTAGAGATTACAAAGGCGTAAGATTTGGTGGACTACAGCCTATGGTGTGAATGTTTCCTTCTTTGTGGCAGGTCTGGTTCATGCATGTTTAGATTAGACAAGGTTAGAGGAAAATGGCCCACTGATTTGAAGTCAGGGTTTGGACTGTGTTGCTTGCATATAAAATAATTTGGTGAAAAGTTATGTGGAACAGAATTATAAAAGTATGTTTTCCCCTAGCTTTAGAGAAATGAAACGATTCTTCACAATATCTTCCAATAATTCGTTATTGGAATAAACTTGGTATATTCCTTTTCAAGTGACCTATGCTGGCCATATTTTTGATATCCCTGCAGTTTTGTTGGTTTGCTCGTTGGCTTATGTGCTGAGGATTGAACATAGGACCCTGCACATGCTAAGACCTAAACTTTGACTTCACACTATTTTATTAATAAAATAGTTGTATATATTTTTGGAATACAAGAAGATGTTTTGATACATATACACAGTCAGCACTTGTTATTGTAATAGTGCCAATAGAGCAACAGAGTGGTAACTTAAAAAGTGTAGATTTGATTCAGGTTTGATGTTTTAATGAGTGAAGACTGAAAGATGTAAGACTCTCCGTTATTAATTGTGTACATCATGACTACTCCTAAAAGAGCTGAAATGAACAGACAATACCTATTCTTGCAGTTACTCAGATAATTATATAATAGAGCAACCCATGTGTTTATTTTCTTCTTTTCTCTTATCCATTGACTTTGTCTGAAATTATTCAAGGATAAAATTATCCTTAGGGTTCTGAGGACAAAAGTGCTAACAAGAAACTAAGAAAATCTGGTAACTTTAAGTGATGAGTTAAGTGAAAAAAGAGTTATATGGCTTTGAGTATTAGAAATACAATGAGCCTAAGCCTAATGTTCTATTATCATAAGAAAGCCTTCAGTAGTTGTTAGTAATAAAACATAATTAAATTTAATAGAATAACTTTTCCTTCAGCTAAGTTTCCATCTGTCCCCTCGAGAAGAACATAGCTAGTAAGGATAAGAACTTATCTCCCCTCTCTGTTCTCTAACTCTCCCTAGGAACAAAGATGACAATGTTTTCCATGCATAACTCATATGCTCGCCTAACTCAATTGTTAGACTAATAAGCTCACAGAAGTTCTTGAGAGATCATACCAAATTAATACAAACCAGAAACTGAAAGATCCACTGTGAGAATTTACTTAATATGTGTTAGGGCAGTTTCCTCAAATCCCTGGAGAAAGAACACAGTTATATGTTACTGGCTTATCATTTACAAATCCATCTAATTATGTGAGACTATACACTTGCATTGCATTGATAGAATACCAAAAATATTATTACAAAAGCAAAGTTAATGAAGTCAAATTATGTGTTCTATTAGACATATTTTCCATGGATTTTGGAAACCCAAATGTAGTATTTTCGTTTCCTCCATTGACTCTAATTATTTAAAAAGTTTACAATTTAAGAATGATTAGTCTTAACATAGCTGATCTTTTGAATCTGATGTAAGTTGTGGGTCTTAACATTGGCCTGGATCTCTTCTCCTAGGGGTAGACTCAATTTACAGATGTATAGCTGATACAAAGACTAACACATTCTTGAAATTAACTTTTCTTTTCTCTTGAATGTTGAACACAGGTATGAACCCTGATTTAGGCATTGGGCTAAGTGCTTTACAGAAATTATTTTACTTGACCTTCTGATAGATCTTCTCTCTTACAGAAACATAGGCTATGATGACAGTATTATAGGGAAAATCTTAGATTCCTGGGGAGAAATTAGTTTAATGCCAACAAAAAGATTTCTGTAAGTCACTCAGAGGGTAGTACAGTCAGAATTTGAATTAAAACAATGTTAACCCAAAGTCTGTCTTGTTACACCTTCAGCTTTATCCCCGTTTGTCATCAGATTCCTGGGAGATCAGGTAGGAACTCAGATTACTCACTGAAGATTCTAGTTTGTATTGGAAGTTTACAATCCTCAGAGATTCAACAATTCAGGAGTTCCTTATCCCTAAAGGAAGAAAGAGGAAAGGAAGACCTTGGCATCAGGGTGATCTTCCAAAAACCTTGTCAAAGTGAATATAGTTTTTTCAGGATTTCTTCTGTCTGTAAGTGATGAAAAGTCATCTGAAACTCACTTAAGCAAACAAGGATGCCTTCCTGTTTTATGTAATTTAGCAAGTACAGGAAATGTTGAATTTGGGTACTCAAATGATATGATAGGGCTGCCCATATCTGACAATTCTTGCCTGTGCTTTCCCAAGGGTTCATTCTAGATAAAAAAAAAAAAAAAAAGTCATGAAGAGGTGGATCTTGTGTCTGATTCACAGTCTACAAGGTTGTAACTACATAAAAACATCATAATATAATGGAGTGAAAAATCAAGGGAAAGAGAGAATAACAATTGAAGGAAGCAATCTCCATCAAGACATTGCTTGTGCTTCTGCTAAAAAGTAACATTAGGTGTCCAGTCAGGCTCCAAGTTCTAACTTTATTATATAGTATCTGTATGAAAATACAGACAGACATATATATCACATATATTTGAAATAATTCTCTCCAAATGAAGAGCGAGAGTGGAAATATCTCCACATATAAGTTTGGTATCAAAGTTTTAGTTTATAAGTACTGCAGAACCCAGGATACTACTCTAGGTAGACTTAGTTCCCTTAAATATAAGTTTTTTTTTTCATGTACATACACTTGCCTAGAAGCAACATTTTCATACTTTGTGTCATAAAAACTTTAACAATGTACCTGTTTATCATTATTAAAACGTATTACAGTGTTTGGTAGAGATACAAATTACTTTTCTATATTTTTAGATACAAATATCGTATTCAACAATAATTATAATAAATCATATGCCCTTTAATGAATATTTATCTTTAAGTATATAATCTTCTTTCTCCATTTTTCACTGCCACACCATGACAGAGAATCTCTTTGAAGGATCTTATGTGTTCCTGAAGTAAACCTAGGGTGTACAGAAAGGAGACTTCTATGTATAGATAGAGTATACATAGTGGATTGTCCCTCAAGCCCCCAGAACTCAGAAGCTCTGAGCATGAACAGCCCAGCAGATTGCAAAGCTGGTCCTGCCATGCTTGATTCTTGTAAACACAGGGTAACAAGAATTACTTGCACCTTAACCCAGCAAACCTGAGCAAGAGTGGAGCTACATTTTTGTCAGTGTAGTGTCATCAGATAATTACTAAAATGGGAAAAGGAAAGGTTTAGGTTACACAAATACAAAAGTTCTGGATGACTAAATTACATGCATATAATAAATATTAAAGAAGACATTTCTTGTAATACAGGAACTTTTATTCCAAGGTATGCTATTTCCTTGGTTAAAGAAGATCATATCATGGTAGACAGTGTGAAATACTAGAGCTGACATTGTAACAAACATCCTTTAACTTCTATAGAGATCTCTTCAAAACCTCTAGTAAGCAAAGCTTCCCCTTGCTATACAAAGCAGTGCTCTGCCTCTGAGAAACAAAATGAGTCAGGTTCAAAAGCAGGAAAATTCTAAGACAAGGGAGACAAATAATTGAAATGCTATACAGCTGTTAGCAGACTAAAATTAACCAATAACTCTTGTCTTTTCTGTTTCTGAACTGTACGTTTTAGATAAGAACATACAATAGTATATATATATATATATATTCTGAGTAAGAATGAATAACAAATATTCTGCCTCTTGATTTTAATAGATTAAAGAAATGTTCATGAGTTGTGGCAAAGATTATATCCAGTCCTGTATGTCTTCAATCCAAGTACTTTGTATATTGAAATTCTCCTTGCCCTATTTGCTTTTACTCTGCATAGGCAGGATAAAGGTAATTGTCTTCCAAGCTCTATACTCGAGCATACCCTTCAGTAGCATTCAGTCTACAAGGAAGTCTTTGCCATGGCATCTAACATCATTAGAGTACTTTAACCTATACTCAGTTATCTAAAAATGTCCTCCCCATAGCTGAATGACCCACCACTGCTTTAACAATTGTCCCATGGAAAATCTAAGCTTGCAGTTACATAGTTGAAATTGAAATGCTGTGAAGGTCTTTCATTCTTAAACTCGCTATTGGGATAACATACATTAATTCTAATTCCATTATATTGTAACTGGATTTGAATTGACTTTCAATGCCCTTTGACTAAACATATCCAAGGAGAAGAGAAGAAAATTTCCTAAAATGTTCAAATGTCACCAGCTTAGATTTCGTTTGCAAGAGTCCGAGAGCACCTGATTTCCTACTTCTAATGAAAAGTGAGTGACCAAGTGACAGCCACAAAAGCAAACATGTCATATTTGCAGACAAAAGTACTCCTTGAAAATGATGATAGTCTCTTCTGAACACAAAGAATGTTGTTACTTAGAAAAGTGAAACCCAACTCAGGAAGACATGTAAGAAGGCACTAAAACCAATTACTTAATAGTCAAGCACTGGAATTTTTCAACACATTGTTGGGAGCAAAGGTTCCCTTGTGCTGCTGGTAACTCTCTACTCCTTAGGCTGTTTTCAGATGTGTTGTGTGAATTTGAACAGGGTATGGAGGTCCTGCAGAAGCAGGGCTAGAAGGGACAGGTTGGCTCTATTCTTTGATCGTGCTGTCTAGGATACTCATGACATTCTTTACTTGAGTTCCCCCCACACACACACACCCACATACACTAATAAAAAGTGGTTATATGGGCACATCTACCTACACTGCCCTTGTAAGGTGCTAACTGCATAGCCCAGAAAGCTTGCACTCTCTTCTGTGTTTCCAGTGGTGTCACTGGGAGAGCAAAGAAGTCCTAGATATATTTATCTGAGTCTGGTTAAGTAATATTTGCTCTTTCTTGGAAAAGTGGCCCCTCGTGGGCAATTATTTCACATGTCTTAGCGTTTTACAATTTAATGTAAAACAGTAACCTTGTGTCTCCTTCTCCTCTTTCCTCCCGCCTATCTGGAGCCCCACTCCAACCAACCCCCAGTCTCTCCTCCCTACCAGACTAAAGTGTCACTCACAGCGCTTTTTTTTCTTTTTACGTTTCAACAGCTTCCAAAACAAACAGTGGAGGTTGTGACCGGCTGGGTATTCACTCAGTTGGATGCAACAGTATCTCTCAATCGCTTTGGCGTGAGCTGCCATTGGTGGCAGGTCTGTTCCCTAAAAGGCTAGCATTTGTCAATCTCTGGGCTTTGGCAGGTCCCAGAATCAAGGATTTGAGGACTGATGGTACACACGTGTCCACTGAGAGGGAGGAAAACTAAAAAGGAAGGGAGACTACACCTTGTAGAATTTCGACTCAAGTTTAATCTTTCTTCTCCTTTATTTTGTCTATTTAAATAAAAATACATTCATATATAACAGAGGGGGGGATTTTTTTTTTTGTTAAAGTGTGGATCCAAAAATTGGTTTTCAGATCTAAGACTTCTTTTCTGTGAGTTTTTTCTGTGAGTTTTTCCTCCCTTGCCTCTCATCTGCGCCCTCCCTCTCCCCCTCCCTCCCGAACCCAGCTCAGGTTGAAACTTTGCAGTGCACACTCACTTCTTCCCCTCCAGGGATGGCTCTGAGCACTCGAGCGCACGCCTTCTCGGTGGAGGCCTTGGTGGGGAGACCCAGCAAAAGAAAATCTCAAGACTCAAGAGAGGAGATGCAGCCTGGGCTGCAGGAAGAGCGGTACATACAGAAAGAGGAGGAGGTACCTAGCAGCGCTTCTGGGGACTGCAAGCAGCCGGGTGAGTACACTCTAGCAGCCCGGTTCCCTTAAGCGCTTTACCCGCGCTGGCTGGATCGGATCTTCTTCGCCTGGTTCATTGCGCTGTGGCAAAGATGTTCTGGCCCAGTCCCGCAGGTCAGGGTGTGGATTGCGGAACAAGTTAGCCACCTGACTTGAGTACAAATTTCAGAGAGTCTGAATCTCACTTGGAAATGCTGTGGTTTGTCTGCAATGAAAAGGAAGGTCCCACTTTTAGAGAAGTGAGTCTCACACCCCTTACAAAATTCTAAGAGCCTCTCAGTAGGAAGCAGGGTGTTCCCCAAATTCCCAAGAAAATCTAGCTTTAGAGTCAGCTTTTGGCAGGTTAGGGGTGAGAATTTTAAGGGTGCCACCTTTCATGGGATGCAAATTGGGACCCTCTCTACATTACTAAGCCACAAAGGATTTCGTGGGGGAACTTATGCATGTGACTGAAGTTTCCGGGAGGGAGGAATAGGTCTAACAGTTCAAAGATAGTCTCCAGACAAAAGGATGGGTGCAACCTGCCAAACTCTCAAACCCCCGTGTCTAGCAGAAAAGCGACCCAAGGCAGAATCTTCAAAAACTGCTTTCTCCTCCTGCTCTGGCGGCGAGAGCAACAGCCAGGAAAGTCCGCAAGAAAAAAATACTATCCAAGTGGAGCTTCAGGGATCCGACCTATGGAAGAGATTCCACGACATCGGGACTGAGATGATCATTACCAAGGCCGGCAGGTTCGCCTGGGGCAGTGATTTCCCTGAATCACACACAGTAGGCACTTAAGGAGGAGAAGCCAGTTTTGTAATGGGAAACTCCTCCCTCTCCTCGCTCTTTGGCAGACGATTTAAAGCCACGAACTCCTCAATTTGTTGCTCCGGGAAGTACCTAGCTAGCTGCATTAAAGAGACTACTCATATTTTCTGATACATCCTTACTCCAAAGACTCACTCTTCCAAGTCCTGCCTTTGTACTGTAGGCGAAAATCTAGACCTGTACAGGCAGGCAAGTGTCAGACCTCTCTAACTTTGTACTGCTGTGGGCAGCCTCTCAGTTCAAGCCTAGCAAATAGTGGCAAACAATACCCTAGCCACTGTCCTCCAGCACAGCATCCCTGGCTCAGACCACCTGGAAGCCAGCCTTTCCACCAGCTAACCATTTGGTGTGGGGCAGCCTCCTAATTAGTCTTCCTAATTTCAACCTTTGCAAATCTGCCTCTCATGCCCTTCCTCTACTAAAAGTACAGGAAAGGACTGAAACTTTTCCCGTCCTTATCATTTTGAATGACACGTGGCAGGTCGTGGAATGCAGACTTTTCATAAAGATAGTTGGTACCACTAGACAATCTCGGGCTTTTCAATCAACCATCTTTTTTATTACGTAACAAATGCCACTTCCTGAACATGTCATGGAAAGGGAAGAGTACTGTATTTGTCCATCACTCATCTTCCTTCAAAACGTCTCTCATATCTGCCCTGTCAGGTTCTATTTTCCATCCAAACCCCTATTTTCTTTCCCACAGGCGTATGTTTCCTTCTGTTCGGATCAAGGTGAAAGGGATGGACCCAGTGAAGCAATACTATGTGATTTTGGATGTGGAACCAGTGGATTCCAAACGTTATAGGTAACTTGGTAGATAGGGTCCAAACAGGCTGAGGATACAGATTCAGAGCATCACTCCTGCAGCCTGACACCTGACAGCAGGATTTGAACAAAAGTATGCCCAGTGAGGACAGACGGTTGCTCATCCTTGGACTCAGATAGTTCAAATTTCTCATTTGAATCTGGGTCCAAAGTAAAGGAAGAGCAGGTCTTTCCTACTCCCTCCTCACGGAAGGTGATGTCAAAGAGCTTCTTATTGTACCCTAAGCCTACCCGCTGTTTGTGCCTTAGACATGTAAAATGTGGATGCTCTGGCGTCGCAGAGGCAAGAAATTTGAAAAACTTTAGAGAGACATGCTTTAGGCTCAAAGTGGACCCTGGCTTCTAGGATTAGGCTGTAATCTGGGCAGGTTCACAAATGATGTCGTGATTCCCCAAATCTAGTGGCAGGGTCCTAGGGTCAGCGCTGGACTTTTGCCCATCTGTTGTTCCTCTTTTAGATGTATGCCTGAAGGAATAGTCAGACAGTGCTGCGATTCTTTTATTCTTTTTGTTCCTTGAATACCTTGAGGAGGCTGGACCAAAGACAGACAAACTGTTGTAAAGATAAGAACCTTTTGAGCTAGCAGCACAGAAGGCACTGCCCTGCTGATGCTTTGACCGGGAGCTCTGGAAGTGAAGGGGAGGGTGCTGGGAAAGCAGCCCGAAGTCAGCTGGGTACAATCAACCCAGAGGCGCGCCTGGTGCCTGGCCCTTAGGAGAGAGGCCATCTAGTACCAGAGCTTCTTCTCAAGGCAAGAAAGTGCAACTCACCAGCCGGCTGGAACCTCCTCGGCTGGCCTGGAAACAGAAGCAGCTGCTTGCACTGAGGCTGTTTTGGGAAATGCTGAGTAAAACGTTAGTTTGAGATCGGAAACAGTTCAGGGAAAATCAGGCCTGAGGGCGCTCGAGGCGGACGGAGTTCCTTTAGTTTTCTGATGTGCAGTTTAGTTGGCAAAGGGGTGCAGAGCAAGAAAGGGCTTTCACTAAAACTATTAAGCGTGGGCTTAACAGACATAGTGCTTAGCCTTCTGCTTTGTTCCTCGTGCTTCTTGCTTGCTTGTCATTTGTGGATTTTTTTAGGCATCCCTACAGTGGGAAAAGGAATCAGACTGATTCCCTGCTACGGTTTCTGTGAGGAAATACCAGACACAGATATCCCATGCTGTTTTTACTCACCCGGGACACTTCCTTGCATTTTCGTGGCATATGCTTACTTACTGTTTGTTTGTTTGTTACCCTTGAGTGCTCTTTGAAAATGAAATGGGAGCTTCTGTTTAATTACTGGCCTTTGGAATAAGCGTTTTAATCTTTGGTGAGGCTCTTAGGTGGAGAACTCCGAAGCCTCTCATCCCTCTGCTTTGTGCTGGCTGAGCCTAAAACCACACCTTGCTCTTTTTTATTCTCTCAGGTATGTGTATCACAGCTCACAGTGGATGGTTGCTGGGAATACTGACCATTCGTGCATCACTCCCCGATTCTACGTCCATCCGGACTCCCCTTGCTCAGGAGAAATCTGGATGCGTCAAATCATTTCCTTTGATCGAGTGAAACTCACCAATAATGAGATGGATGACAAGGGCCATGTAAGTGAGCACAATCTTTCTCCTGGAGGAGGTAGGTGCCAAGGCCAGAGGTAGTCCTCAAGAGGGCATTCTTCTTTGTAAGTGTTGAATGTTTTGGAAACCAAGCTCTTGGATTTGTAAATCAGAGACCACAAAGGGCTCCTCCAAGCTCTGTGATCTAAAGTGCTGGACTGGGGGGAATGACTGCAGGGAACTTGAGGGCCCAAAGACCCCAAAGAAGAGACAAGTTTCAGCTAGAGAGGGTGTCCCATAGTGGAGAGTGGGAGGGCACACATCACAGGACTGTTAGGCATCTTGCCTTCCCTGGCAACACTGTGGAGTCTACACATTTGTTACAGATACAGCGGTGCCTTTGATACAGTGTGGTGGGAGGATGCAAGGCAGCAAATGAGAATCCAGACTGTCCATTTCCACAACATGCTGTCATGGGAGTCAGTTCCTCCTTATTTTCAGGTTTCCTGGATCTTGAGCCTTCTCCCTAGGTACACACTTCTGCCTGTGCCCTGCCAACCTAGTCTTGTGCCAGCCACAAAAGGAGAGAAGGAAACTACCAGGATTAGGAGGTGGGGAATATCAGGTTTCTAGCCACATTTGGTACCATCAGTTACTGCCCAGAGAATTTATATCAGGTGATCAGGTACTCATGACACATCCACATCACATGGTCAACCACATTTGGAAGCAGGAAAGGCCCCAATCTGGCTATGAAATTTGCTACATGGTGTCAGTGTCACTGTGGTGCCTTCCTCTGGAAAGCCTTCAGCCAGGAGGGGTTCTGTTGGGGACCAAGCCCGCAACAAAGTTCTGATTTGTGGTTATCTGAGCCTTCCTGCATACTGTTATCTAGCGTGTTTTTTTGGGGGGGTGTCTTCACTGGGGGTTATCATCAACAGGGGGTGGTGTTGGGGAGAAGTTGGTGTTTCAGATGGTATCTAATCATTTCTCCCTTAGATCATTCTGCAGTCCATGCATAAGTACAAACCCCGTGTGCACGTGATGGAGCAGGACTGTAGGATTGACCTGTCCTTGATTCAGTCCCTTCCTACTGAAGGAATTAAAACATTCTCGTTTGAAGAAACTGAATTCACTACAGTGACAGCTTACCAAAACCAGCAGGTAAAGCTGTCTAGACCTCAGAAGTGGGAGTGGCCCCAGTGGGGTATGGGATAGAATCAAGCAGCATTGTGTGGGTTACATTGTAAACAATGGCGGGGGAAAACTTTACTTCATTATTAAGTGACATTTGATAGAAAGTGATATGGTTCTTCTGTTAAACAGGAGATCATAGCAGAAGGGACAAGTAGGCCAAGGAGACAATCATCTTAAATCTGACTTAACTGTGTGCTTGAATTTTTTTCCACATTATAATGCAAGACTGTTGCTGAGAACATAGCCTGGACTTTTCTCTATGTCTTTCTTTTGAATTCATAGATTACAAAACTGAAAATAGACAGGAATCCTTTTGCCAAAGGATTTAGAGATCCTGGGAGAAACCGGTAAGTAAAGCAGCATTCAAATTTAATATTTGGATAGCCCCTTAATAACTACTAGAAATAATAGGTAAGTAGAATTGCAATCATAGAGAATATTTATGTAGCTCTTTTATGAGTAAAAAAGATTATATAACCGTGGGTCAGAAGCTTACACTTTTATGGATAGTAGGTGGTAGGAAAGAAACTGCATGTTTGGATGCCATGCCTTTTTCTACTGTACCTCCTGGCCAGTGGTAAGGTATTATGCAGTATAGATGTGGAGCTTACAGAAATGTAGTCAGATCCTAAATATGAGTGAAAATAATAGCTCAGATGATTACTCATAAAATATAACAGGTTTATATGAATCATTATATTCACTAAATGTTTTCTGGAGTTGCTGAAAAGTAAATATCTTTTTTTAGGGGTGTATTGGATGGGTTTTTAGAGACCTACTCCTGGAGGCCTTCCTTCACTATGGATTTTAAAACCTTTGTTGCCGACACACAAAGTAAGAAAACTTTTAACTTTCAGTTTTATTTTTACATATTAATGCAGTAACAACAGCCATAATTCTTATATCAAATACTACACAAAGGAATAAATATATGCCAGAAAATGTGTGTTCACAAACAATATGTATTTGCTATGTGGGGAAGTAAGAAGCAAAAACAGAGACAAACTGACACCTAAGGGAGATAATAAAGTTATGTTGCTGGTGGAATTTATTGCTTATCTAGCTTATGGAATTATCTTACACTCTTATCATGACATCATACATGGATTGTGTCTTTGGCCCATTTGTGGCTTAATTTGGAAATATATTAGCTATATAAGTTATTTTTATCTTTACTATATGTTTGAGTTATTTCATTTGTTTTACCTTTACATAGTTCTAATTTACCTTTGTATTGCATGAGAAGTAAATATAAAAAAATAAAAGTAAATATCAAAATAACCCTAAATGATCACATCTAGTTTATTTTCATATATAATTTGCTCTTATTTTCACATTATTTAAAAAGTCATTGAACACATGGTAGAATTTATAGAATGTAGAGTAAAATGCATGATGAGCATGGTAGAGGAGCTAGGAAGAAATAAACACAAGTATGCAATTATAAATTCTTATACAGGGTATGGCATCATACTACTTGAAGGGAAACAGAAAGTAAAGGATTAATACTACAAAGAGAGAGTAATAATTAAGAAATTATGATTAATATGCCAAGAAGGAAACTGTCAGCATACAAAATCACAAAATGAGCTAAATATAACATGGATATGGTGCTTTGTCTACTTTTTTTTTAAATGCTTTAACTTACACATTAAAATTGAGTGTATTAGTGGGGTACCCTGTGATGTTTTTATTCACGTATACATTAAAAATATTTAGTCTCATTCAATTATATTTATCTCCTCAAGCATTTTTTACCTTTATATGGGGAAAACTTTCAAAACCCACTGTAGTATTTGCCAAAGTACAATATTAACTATTAACTAGTCTCCTGCTGTGCAGCACATGTGAACTTCTTGCTAGTGTCTCCCTATAACTTAGAAGCCACTGACTTGACATTTTTTCATCCCCTTTTGACCCCCATTTCTGGTAGCCATTATTACGTTCTCAGTTGTCATCACCTTTATATTTCACATATGAGTGAAGCCATACAGTAACTGCATCACAACCAATTTAATTATCATAAGTCTAAAAATATTTGTAATTTGTTTCTTCTCAGACAGCGCATTGCCTGATGAAAGCATCATGACCATAGTTGGATAATACATGTGTTTTAGTAAAATAATCTATAACTTTATTTCTGAAATATTTAACTATAAATAGAATACTTTATTTGTAAACAGCATAAAACTTTCTCCACTCATCTTTACCCCATTAAAGTACACTTGGCTTTGGACATTTACTTAACATTATTTTTATGGAGCAAGATATCAACATTATGCTTAAGTTTTACATGATGCCATAACAAGTAATTGTAATGTGAAGAAAGGAGATATAATCATTTGTTGAAATGATGTGATTTAAAAAGTGGCATAGAAAACTATGAGCAGTTGTTTTACTAGAATAATTCAACTGACAACATTAGGCAGCATGCTTTTAAAATATCCAAATAATCTAATTTCAAAAAAAGACAAAAGTAACCATTAATTGGTCACTTAAAATACAGTTAATTACATCATTTACAGTGTGAAGAGTTCAGTCATATGGGAGAGGAGCAGTCATTTTTAAAATAACTTTTGACTGATTTATTACATGTATTTGTCAATCTGCTGATAAAATATTAGTGTATGTTTATATTTACATATACCCAAGAAAAATAACAAAATTATCAATAAAATCTCCCAACTTCATCAAGTATGGCCAAACATAATTGATTGAATTCAAACATTTACAAAAATAAAGGTCAGAGTCTAGATTGCCCTGTACCATATACATTTTATTATCTGTTAAACCAGTGGTTCTTAACCTTCCTAATGCTGCGACCCTTTAATACAATTCCTCATGTTGTGGTGATCCCCAACCACAAAATTATTTCATTGCCACTTCATAACTGTACTTTGCTACTGTTATGATTTATAATGTAAATAACTGATATGCATCCCCCCAAATGGGTCGTGACTCACAGGTTGAGGACTGCTGTGTTAAACAACAAAAGACTTTGGATATCATAAAGTAAACCCTTTCCTTCTCACCTTGATGCTTCTTAATTTGAAACACTGTCTTCAGTTCTTGATAGAAAAGAACAATGGAAATCTCCCCATCTATGATTTTCACATAAGACAAAATATTAGTGATTGTTAATATTTTCTCAATAATAAAATTATTTTCACAGTTACTTGATTTTTACACTGAAAAAAAATCTGTAAAATCCCAGACAACAAATTATTTTTGTTCAATGTGCAGATTTTAAAATAAAAGATTAGCTTTTATTTGTAATATATTATTGGCTGAGTTACATATGGAGCTTCTCTAACTGTTGGATAAAATGTAAAGAGCTCGAGTATAGTGAATGTCCGGTGTGTGATGCACAGTAGCAGAAGTGCCATGATTAGAGCTACGATGTTCAGAGTCAGTTAGAGGAATACAAATATCTTTTCCCAAGCTAAAAGGACTGTGAACTTGCAAGGAAAACCACTCCAAGAATGGGACAGAAAGGGCAATAGATATGATTACTGGTTCCCCAGGAAAATCAGGTTCATTATTCACTTACTGACTTGTCTTTGACAGGTGGAAGCAGTGGTTCATCTCCAGCGACCTCTAGTGGAGGAGCTCCCTCTCCTCTGAACACCTTACTTTCTCCTTCTGGTTCTCCACCTACACCTTCGTTTCACATACCTCCAGGCTCCTTTGGAATGACCTATCCAGAGACATACCTGCACAATATAAACCTGCCCTTCTGTTACAAGATTTGTCCAACTAATTTTTGGCGACCACAACATTTTGTCTTACCTACTCCGGAAAGGCTACCAAGCTTCAACAGTTCTCAGTCTTTACCCCCACTCATGATGGAAGTGCCCATGGGATCATCCAGGGGCATCATCAATTCAAACAGTGGGTTACATGAAGACTGCAATGGGCAGTGTCTACAAGCATCTCATTCTGCCAATCAAATTTTATATGGATTACAGAATCCTGGAAACATTTTCCAGCCAAACCCCATTGCCCAAGAAACACTCAGTTGCCCTTTTCATCCTCCCCATGGCTGTTATAGGAACAACTTCTCCATGCCATCTAGACTCGAAAATGCTACCAACCATCTCAGTGAAAATGACAACAATCAGATTTCTAATTCACATTGGTATCCAGCAGTCAACCATTGCCTTTAATGGGACAACAATCACATTTTAAGACACTTACATGTAAGCACACATTTTCTTTATTTGTAACAAAAGAAAGGACAATGTCTCTTTAAAACTTCCTTACTGAACAGCATTGTTTTGTTTTGCGTTTGAAGGAACTTAACAAATATTTACAAGAATTTTCTATATAATGTTATCTCCGACCTGTAAGACTATGATATTATAATAGCCTTGGTCCTCAAATAAGTTACTTAATAAATATTGTTTGGTGAGATAAGCCATTAGTGATAATTAATGTCAAGAGATTGTCTCCAATTGCAGCATTGTCAACTCACCATACACCTGTGTTTTACCTATTAACAAAGACCAAAACAAGATGGATATAATTTGTGTAAAAACAATAAAAATATTTCAGTCCTATCTATGAAGGTTGGCTATACTATAAATATCTATTAAGCAATCATGGCAAAAAAAATTGAATCATTTGTTTGATTTGTATTTGCTGCTGAAGGAAATAGTAATTACAGTTTTGAGGTATAGACAGGGACATGTTTCCAAGTATTGGTTTCGATTAATCTACGTAGTCTGGATAATCTTCAATTCTAAAGGGGATGCAAAGATCAAATGAAAGGTAAAGCATTCCAAATAACTTTGATCTTTGTTTCCTTTTACTTTTGGATGTTTCACATATGAAGTCTGTTAATGTATTCCTTTAAAAAGCCTATTTATTCTACTGATCAAAATATATGATTTTAGTCCTTAAAAAAACTGAGACAATATTTGAAGAGAAAGAACAGATTTGAGTCCATAGTTACGAAAGTAGCATTACAATGGTAGAACTTAATTCCCATTTTCATATCTTGTGTGTTACTCATGGTAAATGAAATGGATAAAAGTAAAAAGTAACTTTATTTTAGCACTTGAATTTGAATAGACTCATTTCATCAATTCTTAAATTTCTGAGAATAATTTTTTATAAAGTATAACCATTCATTGCTTGTCTTTAAAATCAATGAAATATAAGCATTTATAGTAATAGTTGCAGTCATTTTATTAAGCCAAGGTCCTTTAATTACAGCAATATGACTGGACTTTTCCCAACACTAACAGATCTACCAAACACCTTTTCTTGTTTTTCTAAAACACACCAGGGACAGTGTATACTTATTATCATATGGACCAAAATAGTTATCTCATCCTAAATATTCCTTATAAATATGCCTTACTATAAAGCATTTGCTCCCAACTTCCAGAAATATAAACAGAACAGCACATGGTTGCATAAGACTAAATATTCTAATGAAGAGAATGCATTATTTGCAGCTTACACCAATGGGGAATCTATTGCAAAAGTCTCTGAGGCATGAAATACCTACTATTCAAGTTTGTTAAGAGAGGGATTAAAGAAACAAGTACACTTTTTTGCCTACCCTACAATAGGAACTCTGTAAAATACTTTAGTAAAATAAATTATGGATTTAACATAGCTGCCTTATCAAATTATAATGAAACTATCTGATAGTTTATGTGTATGTGATTACTTTATTAAGTATCAACAAAAAGTTATTTAACTGAAAATTAAAGAAAATATCTGCATTGTTCTTTAATCACTATGTAAGGGAATACATTAATTTAATAGCTATTCCAGGGTATATATACCAATGCTTTAAATGTCAGATATTTTTATGTGTTGCATTTGTAAATCCAAGAATACGTAATTATACTAGCAATACTTAATAGAGGCAAAATTTTAAATGCTAGTGTTTGGTATTCATCTTACGTTATTTCATAAAAAATAAAAGAGTTGTGCCTTCACACTTACAATTATAGTAAATGAGGGAAATCCTTCATGGAAAATTAGGCTTGGAGGAAACTTCCATCAAGTGGCCCTTTTTCTTCCTTGAAATAAACTCTTCATCTGTAGAAATCTGTTAACATGTCAAACTCATGCACATAAATGTTTAATACCCTTACTACAGCTCCTAAATAGATGCTACAGAACTCAAGAAAGTTGATAAATTGTGACTATAGTTACAGAACAGCAACAACAGAAATCTATCTGTCCACATTTAACTGCCTTACTTTTTCTAAAAAAAAAAGCTTTCAAAAGCATCTGGTTAAAGTGAGAAATTGTTAGCCAATGAAAGTGGCCACATGATACTGCATAAGTTCCAAATTAAAACTTCTATTTTCACCTGGTGTGAAGACACACACACACACACACACACACACACACACACACACACACACACACGCATGCACCTCTTCTTTTAAAAAAACAACAGACTACATTTATATATCTGATTCTTAAACTGACCTGGTAAGTAACTTTCCCAGATAAAACTAGAGAAAATAAACCTTGCATCAATTTTGTAAAATTTTCACATTGAGTCAGGAAATAAGTGAATGATAACTTTATCCTTGTATAGTTTCCATTCAAACTTAGACCTGTAGTCAGATTCCCTGGACAGGAAAGTATTTTGTGAAATAGACAAGCTGAAATCAATGACAAAAGTTGAGCTTGGTTGAAGTTCTAAGTGGACAGATTGCTATATTACATTCCTTATTACATTTAAATATTAGTATTACTTTAGGTAACATGATTTTAGAACATCAATATCTTTACTGTTTCTTTTCACTGTTGGGTGCCTAAACTTTGTGAATATTATATTTTGGAAGGCCAAATTATAACTTTAACTTTATAGCATTTTAGGTTACATACTTTTAGAATCTTCAAATTAACTAATGTCATTTGCTTCTATTTAGTGTGTTTTGAAAATGAAGAGGCTTCTTCAAAGCTCCCAAGCTGTGGAGAGATGTTTCACACTGCTTTCAGGCATGAGTTCTCCATATGGGCTGAGAATGGACATGATTTCATTCTTCTGTGAGGTTGAAGTATGTCTGTGGCAGGAAAAGAAATGAGCTATTAGTCTCGGCAAGTGATGACTCAGTGAATAATGAGTCTTTGAAGCATCTGCATCTTATGTGCTGACAACATGACAAGGGTGCCAACAATGCACAAAGACAAGCATCTGCACTGGACATTATGAAAGACTTTCCTTAAGTTCTCCTAACCGTTTCTATTTTGCACCTTGGGGAAAATTAAGGCACACAAAGCAAGTACAAAGGTAGCCAGAATGTAGCTTAAATAAATGAGCTGTTTAAATACTAAAACATATTTTGCAAAAGTTTATATGCATGCTAACTTTTAGTATGTTCCAAGTAATAGAATGTATGTGTGTGTGTGTGTGTGTGTGTGTGTGTGAGAGAGAGAGAGAGAGAGAGAGAGAGAGAGAGAGAGAGAGAGAGAAATGGGACATTTTTTACATTTTTTGTTTCCTTATTTAATCTCACTAACAAGTTTTTAATATGTATGTAATTTTATAAATTAAAGATGTCACTCTAATATGTGTAAATATGCACACAATGCATGTGTGTGTATGTGTGTAATCTCCAATGGGATATTTCAATTTCTTTTTAAATGATTTATACTGTTTCTTCTCCCTCTCCTAAAGAGAGATTCTGTATAGAAAATCTACTCATTGGATACCAACATACACTATTAATTATGTATACTTATGTGGAGATACATATTTAAATATATTTAGTAATGTCTAAGTGCATATGCTGTACTTTGAAAATTGAGTTGACAGGGTATAAGTACAATTTTTTATTCCAATTTAAAGATACGTTGACTTTGTGGTGAAAAATATTTAGACAGCCAAAATAACAATCAATAATTTCTAGTATACAGCAATGGTTCATCAGTTGATTTCACTAGAATTTAACATGCCTATTGGAGCAATTAAAAACAAACCAAATGTATAGACAGCTTGGGCACTGGTGGTAGTTTCTTTGATATAACTACCTTGGTATACATTTGATCTCTTTTGATTTGATCTGCAATTAAATAATATTTTGTATTAAAACTATATAAATAAACATGGTTTGGATGGCAATATAAAACAGAATGAACAGATAACATAGAACATTTGAAATATACCCATATTAAAACTACTTACACATGTGGGGTGGCCAAATTTGACATGCTGTTTCAATAAAATATCGAGAGTAGAAAGATGAGTATCATTTCCTTTCAAAGTTTCAAATGTTCATGTTTACAAATTTGTCTTGCACATTAATATGTAAACATACATTATAGTGAGCAGATGTACAGGAAAATGTTATAGTAACTTTGTATTTAGTTCAAATGCATACACATGTTTATTGGCTATTTTTAACTACTTAAAAGAGTTACAATCATTAAAGTTAAATATAATAGAAAATTCTGAAAGTATAATACCATTAAACACTTTAATCAAATATTATTTTATTGTTATTGTTAAACATGAAAGAGTTTTGACTTTGATTTAATATCTCATTCTCATGCACATGATGATATAATCTAATATTTCTGTTATAAAATATGTAATTAACAACACTAATATAAAAAATAATAAAATCATGAGCTTCTGTTAGATAAAATTTGATGTCTTTGTATTTTATTAAGTATATAATTCACTCTTCCCGTTTTATGGTAATTTTTTAATGTAGTGCTATAGTACTTAACTTTTATTTAAATTTTACCTGGAATTTTCATATTTCATTTATAACAAAGATTGTGACCTAACCAATTAAGTAAATTTACTATTTTCTTTCTTGCTGAATTTTATAGATTTTTGGAAAGAATGTTGTCACAGAAACAACACACACACTTACCACATATAGATCTTGCTTTGAAAGAGGCAATAAAAAAATCAATGTTGAAATTCAAAAAATTAGTGCTGCACCCACACGGAAATGGTATTTTAATTTAATTAAAGAAAGTCATCCACAGGCCAAAGAGTGTTCATAAGACTAGTAGATGCGTTTTGCAAATCAGAATTGACTTGTCTTTCATTTCTGATGGTAGACAGAGAGAAAACTGTTCAACAAAATTATCACTATGTTGTGACCTGTCACAATGCTTCTTTCTTTGTAGTTGTAACTTTTGAGGAAAGGTTGAATTCAGTACCACATCATAAAGGGCCCAAGTTCCACACATATGAGATTAAGGTATATGTAATCTGGTATTCGTACTCAAATGTTGCAACCAAGTTCAGCAGGTGTGAGGAAGCAAGACAGTTACCCTAAGCCCTGGGTTTTACAGTGGATAGTGAGCATGACCACGCCAATCTATGCTAACAAGGGCCTGAGACTACACACACACACACACACACACACACACACACACAACAACAACAACAACAACAACAACAACAACTTTTGTTTAGTTTGTTAATATACCCACCTTTCCTACTAAACCATGAATGAAGGAGGAATGGAATGTTTTTGAATAAAATTTATTTATTTTTCAACTTTATGTTAACTTGGAAGAATACAAAAAGCAAAACAAAAAGGTGAAGAATCACAAATAGTTTGTAGTTTGTCTTATATGCTGTGAGTATGTACACACACTAGACAATTTTATGTAGGTGATGTCATGCAATATTAACAATGATTCTCACACATAAATATTCAACAAACTAAGGTCCCCAAAGTAAGAGTAAATAACCAAAAATATGTTAAACCTATTTCACTGTAACTAACTGCTTTGGTTAGTTGTGGTCTTTCTTAGGTGGTTTTATATGACTTTTATTAATATTTTCCTATTTCTTTGAAAAATACATTTTAGTTTTCTCTCCTTTTCTGGATTTTTTGTTCTGCCTTTAATGAATGTAACTGGACATGTTTAAGGGACACACTGTACTGTTATGTTACTTGTGCATCACGTTGGGTTAATTCTTGTATCTATCACCTTAAGTACTTTTCATTTCTTTGGGAGCAAGAACATTTAGTCTTTCCTATTTATTTTGGGTATGGTTCATTATTGCTAACTGAAGTCATGGTACTATATAAGAAAGCATCCAGACTTTTTTCCCCCAGAGCTGAGGACCGAACCCAGGGCCTTGTGCTTGCTAGGCAAGCGCTCTACAACTGAGCTAAATCCCCAACCCCGTGCATCAAGTGTATCAAGACTTATTCTACCTAACTGAAGCTTTGTACACATTGACACCACTCTCCTGGTCCTTTAAAACCTCCAGTTCTTACCAGTCACTGGTAAGTGTATTTTTATTCTTTAAATGTATGAGAATAACTTTTTAAAACTCTAATATATTATTTTTCTTTCTTTGCATGTGTTCTCTCATTTAATATCTTCTAGGCAGTATAGACATTTTAGTGATATTAACTCTAATAATTCATGCTCAGGAGATATTTTCTATTTGTATCATCTTCAATTTTATTCCCTCAATGTTTTATTATTTTCATTATAGAAATCTTTCATTTCTTTGATAAAGCTATTTCTAAGCACTTTTTGTAGCTTTTTTTTTTTTTAAAGACAAGGTCTCACTCTGTAGTCTAGGCTGCCTGGAACTCACCATGTAGTTCAGTCTGGCCTTAAACTTACAGCACTTCTTATACCTCAGCCTTTTAAATGCTGGAACTGAACACATAAGGCATCTACTGGCTCTCTAGTTATCATAAATGGAAATGAGTTCATGGTTTAGTTTGCAACATGTTTGTCATTGACACATGGAAAGCTATTTACATATATTGGTTTTTGTGTCTTTTAATTTTAACAGTACATGTCCATTAGTTCTTACAGATTCTTAGATGGTCTTTAGGATTTTCCCTATATAAGACTACTTCCAAGTTAGTATTGTTGGACATCTGCACTCCTTCACTTATTCAACACTGTGAACAATTAGCCAAACATTAAATCAAACTGTTTATCACTAGATGAATTTCTAAAGATTATATGGTATATGTACACAAAAGAGAATACTATTTGTCCTAAAAAAAATAATAAAAATTTTGAGAGGCATTGCGTTAATCTGCATGAACCTGAACTGTGACAAATTTGATGCTTTGTTTTCCAATTTAAATAGCGTAAATTTCTTTTGTCATGATTCTGACTGGGAATTCTGGTACTATGTCAAATGGTTGTGATAAAATAAGTACCCTGGAAATGTTAGTATCTTAAAAGAAAATCTTTTATCTTTCCCCCTATTTGGTAATAATATTGATGGTTGGTTTCTTTACACTCCCCTTATGATGTCGATGTTTTTTTCTTCTCTGATTTGTTGTGTCTTTGTCATGGAGATAGATATTGAGCTGCTGAAAGTCTTTTTTGCATCTATTGAGAACTCCTTTTTCCTTCACTTTGTCAATTTGACCTATTTTGTTTATTGAATTAAGAATGTTAAACTGCACTCACATCTATAGGATGAATCCTACTAGATTATGCCAACAGATCCTTTTAGTATTCTTCTGGAAATGATATACTAGTATTTTGATGAAAGGTTTTGGATGCACACGTGTGCAAGCACACACACACACACACACACACACACACACACACACACAAACACACTTTTCCTTATCTATTGGTTGCTTTTCTGATTTGGGTATGTGGGTATTGCTGGCCTTACTTTGGGTTTGAAAGAGTCACTTCCTTTACATGTTCTTTTGTTTTGTTTTTGTCATAGTTTAAGAGGAAATGTATTAATTATTCTTATTTTTTGTAGAATTCAACAGTGTGACTACCATTTCTGAACTTTCCTTTGATGTTATAATTTAAAACACTGCTTTAATCTCATTATTAGTAATGGTATATTTTCAAAATATTCTTGAGTAAATCTTCTTGTTTTGTATATACATAGGATTTTATTGATTTTTTAAATATTTCAGCAATTATAGATGAGCTATAATTTGCTCATTGTATTTTTTCTGTTTTTCTCTATTTTTCTTTTATTATAAATAGATTTTTTGTACAATGTATCTTGATTACCATTTCCCCTCCCTCAACTCCTCTGATTTCTTCCTCCCCACTTTCCCTCCCACCAAAATCCAGACCCTTTCTGTCTCTCCTTAGAAAACAAACAGGCATATAAAGAATAATAATAAAATGAAAAAATAAAAAATAAAATGAAATAAAAGATAAAACAAAACAAAACCAAATAGGACAAAATAAACAAACAAAAGAAAAAAGAGCCAAAGAAAAAACACAAGAAACATATAGATTCAGAAACACACACACACACACATTCATACATACAGGAATCTCATAGAAACACAAAACCAGAAGCCATAACATATACATAAAGGACCTGTAAGATAAAAATAAGAAGTGTTCTCACAAAATATTGAGACAAAGAACCTCCAAAGATGTTTGGAGTTTGTTTTGTGTTGGTATTCTACTGCTCAGCATGAAGCCTAACCTCAAGAGTGGTTTGTATCCTCAGGGTAAAAAT